GTGATGATAGGCCCATGTCACCGCCACCATGTACCCTAACTCTACTAAGGAGTGCAGCTTCAATGGTTTATGTTTGGCAATCTACGGATTGTTTAAACATTTAAAAAACTTGAAGTTCTTGAGCTCCTACTTGTAGGAGCAATCCAACAAGCTGAGCGACCACCACCCGTTCATTCTCAGTCCAACCTATAGCAAGCCGGGGTTCATAAGACGCTGCGTTCCTTCTCAGAGGACATGCAATAAACGCCGACATGCGAATCGAACAAGTAACTTGAGCGACCATTTCTCCGCGATGGTTGCAAGACCTCGCGCTTCACGATTTCATGAGCGTTTCCCCAATGAGATGACATGAGCTTTTTTGCACAAAACTATGGAAAGTTTAGGACCATCGAGGGGCCGACTGCCTTTCCTAGGAAAGGCCTGACCGGTCTTGCAAGGTGTGTTGGCACTCCTGACTGCTATTGTAACGTATGTCGGCTTACGGACTGCTCTTGCAAAGTGCGTTGGCTTCCCGACCGCTCTCTGCGCAGCGAGACGGTCCAGCCATTTGCGCACACAAAGCCTGTACGAATTAAAAGGGCCCTTCGCCCTTTTTCCGGCTTTAACAAAGGTACAGCCTTATTGCAAAGAGTCTGGATGGTTAACTGCTGTATCACGACTTCAGAAAAGTATCGTTGGTACTGCACGCACGATCGTCTGGGGACATTCGCGAATGTCCCCAGGAGATCCCGGGATGGAGACATATTACGGCCGATTATCCTTCCGATGGTAGTCGATGGACGGTTGTGACCAGGAATAATGTTGACTTGCGATCGCCGTCCGGCTGCTTTACAGGGGGATGACCATTTGGCGTATTGTGCTGCCCATGGGAAGCTTCCTGACATTAGGTCTCCACTAAGGACTGAATTTACTCGTGACATTATAAGCATGCAATCAAACTATTGCATTGTTTCACAAGCTTAATACTGGACTTACATGCTACGTTACGTTGCAAAAACTTTTAGGTAAAAGTGGGCCTGAGAAAGTCACCCAGTTTACATGGGACGCTACGACGACGAGGTTGTGTTCGTTGGCGCGAGCTGTGTAAACCATCTCCATTTTATGGCTTTCAATGGCCAAACTTCAGCATATTCCCATATGGATTGGAATAAATTCGTGTTGCTTGATGCTGCGGCGTGCGGGCCGATGCGGCGCTGCCCATGCCGCTGCCCATGCGGCCGACTTGCTGTTTCCCCAGCGGCTTCAGCCCTGATACTAAGTTTGGTTGCCTGTTTGTAATATTTGTAGTTGCTAGCGGGCGAGCAACACGAGCGGCGTTGTCCTTGTTCATAGGTTCAAACCATAGGTTCAAACCCTAAGATAAACGGCTGCGGTGCGACAAGGAATGCGGTCGGAATTCAATGCACGCACAAATTGTCAAATATGTGGTCTTTATAAGCGATTGGGCTTGGCCGTTTGTTAAACTCGCGAAATTGGCGACGCAATTCAGGTAACGGTACGAGGGGTCAACGTTTGACGAAATTCACCCCCCCCCGGTCACTGTAGACTTTTCAGGGAACGAGCCGAAACGAAAGCCTGCGGAAAGGGAAACCTGCGGAAATAGGTTTCGTCACGCTTTCCGCAGCGAAGCCCAGATTGGCGGAAATGCGGAAAGAGAATCCGCATTTCCGCGTTCGCTGTACGGCGGAAAGTCAAAAACAGATTCCAGGCATGCGTTTGCCATTTAAAGACTGCGTTTTACACTATGGAGTTATTAGATTAAGTCAAATGTCAGCAACCACTGGCCCCGACCTGGGGGCTGCCGAAGTCATAGAGATTGACTGTGTTTCTGCTCAGAAGAAGCGTGGAAGGCCCGTTGACGACGTTGGAAACATTTTGATAGAGGTCCTTACGACAAGAGCAAGAACTGCTATGCAACCTGCAAATGCTGCCGTCGCCACTGGAAACGTGCTCGCCTTCCTGAAATCCGCTTTCACCTTGCCAAGGAGGGCACATAATAGTTGATCGCTTGGCCCCCGCCACCCCCAGTAATACGTTTAGATGGCTCTACCTTCGAGCACGATTGGAATCCACCAGATTCTAGTTCCCACCGGACAGAACCGCACTGCCACAAGCTGGTTTCAGACTGTCCATGTCATCGCCACACTGAGAAGAGCTAAAAAACATCGTTACATATTCATTTTATAGTTTTCGCAACTTTCCGCAGTTTCCGCAGCCTTTCCGCAAAGGGGCTCCCGAATACGAAAAGATTCCGCAGACCTGGTCAAGTTTCGGCTCGTTCCCTGAGACTTTTCGTCCACTTTACCGGTAACGTACCGTTACCATGTCCGAACCGACCACTTTTCCCAAAAAGTCTTAACGTAACGTAGCATTTAAACTAGCTATAAAGACCATGTGTACGCTTTAAAAACAGATTCCGCGCACAGTGCTGGCCGACAAGTTGTGTCGGTTTCCTCGAAGCCGGAAAAAGGGGGGGGGGCCCTGCATCCGTACAGGCCGGTAGCTAGGGTGGCACGTGCGACAATTGATGGGTAGTGTCAACGTGGTGGGAGCTGTGCTTGTTGCAACAGTGCTGATGCTGTGGGAGGTATGCTTGTCGGAGATGGGAGGCAGGAAGCCGGGGCTCATAACCTGTTGAAGAGACGGTGTCTCTCTGGAACCTAGCAGACACAGCTAAGGGTCATTGGCCGTTACACGTAGCCTGGAGGTCCGCGACCTGCCACCGACAGCCCCTTGCTTGGGCGTAAACGTATGAGTCTGAGGTGCTGTTACCGGCACACAGCAGAGGTTCGGCCGCCAAGTCCGCGGTCCATGCCGGATGCTCAACGCTCAGCAGACACAATAGCAGCTTGCCAGCCTTCAGCCTGTTGGCTTTGCGATCTGGTGCCGCAGCCATAATACACACGGAAAACAGCGCCGTACAGCACCGTACACACTGCCTACAGCGTCCCTTCAGGCATTGACCTGCCCATTCGGGCGCCTGCTCACGCCTAGCTTGACACACTTCCCCAAAGCCCTGTCTGCGGTGCTGTCTGCGATGTTTATCCCCAACGCGCCAGCGGCTTCAGCAATCCGCCCCACAGCCGCTAGCTTCACCGTGGCACACTGCACGTCTTCGGAGGCCCCAAGCATTGGCCAAAGTAATTGTACAAACGAACAGCTTGCGTACTTCATAGATAAATAAAAACGAGTTTGTCGGCCTGCTGGTGGCAAGTCAGAATGCCCATGCGGGCAAATGGCAACACAAGCTGGGTGTTCAAGTCCTCATACACCGTCATCTCAGATTTCTATTACCGTACTGCTACGAATTCTTCGCGCCACACCTTTCGTTTTGGGCCACGAAGTGTGTCACAGTGGAAAAAGCTCTATGGGGAAAATTATTTGCTTGTCGCGAAACTGTCTGGCACGAATGTGTCGTACGCCGTGTACATGGTGTAGATAAGCCAGAACTGAGTTTTTACATGCCAGAACTGAGTTTTACATATAGTTACAGCTTCCTTTGTAACTGTTGTTTGCTGAACATCCTGGCACGCTACGTGACAATGCGTTGACCATGGAGCCCAGACGACCCAAGCAAACCAAGCTCACAGCTTTTTTGCCAAAGCTTGCTCGTGACGCTCGGGTTTGTGTATCGGGGCGTTTGGTAAACCGCACCTGACTTTGGTGCCGCACCACCAGGCCTGTCTTCTGTTCTTCTGCGTAAACATATAGTAAACGATCTGTCCAGCAGTTTGGGAGCTTTGACGCTGTCGCTCCTTGTTGTGGCTTCCCTGGAGCCCCGCGAAATGTGTGTTCACGTAAACAAATGTGTGCCATAAAAACTGACAGCCCTCGCGAACTGGTGTAACAAAACGAAAAATTCCAGCTACATTTTTTGGGTACCCACGAACGGTGTGGCGCGAAGAATTCGTAGCAGTACGGTATGAGATACGCGGCACCTTTTTAGATTAAATTTAGCCCGAGAGGCGTTGATCTGACTTTGACCTCGGTCACCATAGGCAGCCAAACTTGTGCTCATACGATTTTTGCTGGCTACCGGCGAGATACCTTCCGGATATCATGGGGGCCCCGGACTGCCGTACCGGCGTCCTGGACCGCGTCCTGGACCGCACGCAGTCCAGGACGCAACCACCCAAAAATAGAACAACGAACTTTGCATATTTCTAATTATCCTGCTTCGCATTATGAAGGAAATAAAGACATTTACGCAATGACAGTTTGCGCGGCTACGCCAACAGATATCCACTGTCAACCCCTGAAGACGCCCTGTTTGCTATGATCCAACTAAATTTTACAATGAGGACGCAGTAAAGATTTTGCATGCATATAATCATTACGCAGCTGTAGGTAGGCGCGGCGCATGGGGGAAAGCAGGGGCTGGCGAGAAATCGGGGATACGGACGCGCAGGGGCACCTACTGGGAGGTGCCTATCCCCCAAGTAGGGGGGGCGCCCCGTGCCCCGCGCCCCCGTGCCCCGCGCTAGGCGTGTCAGCGTGTCAGATAAAAGTTAGGCCATCTCCCCGGCCGGCTGTCCAGACGGGCGACGGCCGCTGTACCCCAAGTGACTGCATCGCGACAACGCGGCCTTCGAAGGCCTCATCAACCGGCCCCGTCGCCCATCATAGTGTTATTAGTTTCTATTTATCAAAGCTGACTGGTTGGCTTACGGCTTTCGGCTTGAGACGGTTGCTTGACCACTTTTTAACTTTTTAACTTTTAACTTAACCAAACTTCTTTCAATGCAGATATTTCAATGCGTTACTTTCAGATTTCAGAGGATGTGCAAGGGGTCGGGCCGCGGAATTCGGCAAGGCGTCCGGCTCATGAGACAAGACAAAATCCATAAGGAGACACAATCATAATCGTAAATATAATATAATGTAAAATACATATGTTAAGCCTCTTCGTGGCGCGTTCGGTTGGCGTTCGGTTGGCGGTCCGGCGGAGCGCATGTTACTGGACCCTGCCGTACGCTCGTCCCCAGTCCGGGGGCGTCTGCTACCTTGCAATACATGAGAATACATGGCCACACGTCCACATGGCCACACGTCCACATGGCCACATGGCCACATGGCCACATGGCAACACGGCCACACGGCCACACAGCCACATGGCCACATGGCCACACGGCCACAGGGCCACAGGGCCACACGGCCACAGGGCCACAGGGCCACATGGCCACGCGGCCACACGGCCACATGGCAACGCGGCCATACGGCCACACAGCCACACGGTCACATGGCCACACGGCCACATGGACACACGGCCACATGGCCACATGGCCACACAGCCACATGGCCACACGGCCACACGGCCTTACAGGGCGGGGCCCCCCTGGACGCTTCGCGCTGGGGCCCCGCCCAAAAAGGCCGGTAACTAGTCGGCCAGCACCCTACACGGAATCTGTTTTCAAAGCCGGTCGGCCTTTCTGGTGTTCCTGGACCTCTTTGCCGAAAACACGGAAATAGGCTTCGCACAATTTCCTGAGCACTGTGACTGGTGAACAGGCGGGCCTTATACTGCAAGCCCGGTTTCCAGGCGTCTTCTGCGCCTGAAAACATGCGAATTTACACTTAAATATCTTTCGTTTTTCCTCGAAAATGGCTTCGAGCTGCTTCGGTGGGGCACCCGAAGAAATGCTTGAAATGGCCCCAAATCCCTTCTGGATGCTCCGGGGCGCACAAATTTTCCTTTCGGGCAAAACAGAAAAATCCCAAAAACATCCAGGCCCGATTCGGAGTGAAGAACCCTGCTGCACAGGTGATCGAGTTTACTGTAATCTGAGAAAAATTCATTCGAGTTAACTTGTGGTCAAGTTTGGGACTTGTCTTCCCCTTCATTTTTCGTTCTCCGAAGGGGAAGACGTAGGGTCTAATTTCAAAGATGCTGTCCTGTTCAGCTTTTACCATCTAGCATGGTTGCCATCTTACAATTGTACAAGTGTGTGTGTGTGTGTGCCATCACGGTTGGGGCCGCTTCTTAAATGGTTTGGGTACGAGCCTGCATGGACGATAAACGTACTTCACGACACTAAAGTCCCCACAGCAACATATAGCTACGATACCTGTAGGTCTGGTTACTTTGCCAAGCGATCTAGGCGGGCAGGCAGCTGCAGAGGTGCAAACGGAGGCGCAGATGCATCTGCACCATATGGACAAATTCCTTGGGGCCCCCTAAAAATCTGGCCACCAGGAACTGCTTCACGGCCTTTAAAGTAACGCCCAGGTTGGCAACTCACCTGCCAGTTGTGGGGGGCGTTGAAGCAGGCGATTCCCTGTCCACCTGTGGCGCCCATGGTGCACGTGTGGTCACACTGATCCTTAAGATCGCAGCCACCGGAGATGTCTGCATGTTGCATGCCGTAGTTGTGGCCGATCTCGTGGAGCAAGGCTATCAGAGCCAAAGATGTATCTCCCGAAATCCACACCAGAGAAGTACCCCATTGGTTGACTGCTGTAAGACTGCCTCTGCTTGGCCCAAGTGATCCCAAGCCAGCAAAGCCGTTACAGCCTGTACGCAATGCACGCAATGCACGCTGAAACAGGGGGGTGTATCTTCGCCTGTGGCAGCTACCCTGCGAAACCCTGCCTTCCCCGGTATTTCGGGGCACCCTCATCCAGTCACCCTAGTCAACTTCTCAGTGGATTGCTCAGGTTCCGCACCCACCACCAGCATCCAACGAAATCTGCCGGGTCGACAGCGGCTCAACTCCATTCTTGGTCGGCTCGCGGGTTAACTTTATCTCAGGTTACCACCATCCATTAATCAGGGGCGCAATACCTTCCACCATCGGATAGACTTCTGACCCTCATGGGCATCGATCCCGGGATCTTCCGGGGGCAATGGTCGCGCCTTACCAGAAGTGCCAAACCCTACTACAATGTGTGGGACAGGGCATATCTTCACCCGTGGCCACAACCCGGCGAAACCATGCCTTCCCCGATATTTCGGGGCGCCTACATACAGTCACCCTAGCCGACATCTTAGTGGATTGCTCAGGTTCAGCACCCACAACTGACATCCAATGGAATCTGCCGGATTATCGGCAGGGCAACTCCTCTACTTGTCAGTTTATAGGCCTTCTTATCCTAGGTCATCACCGTCCATCGACCAGGGGCAATATTCCGGGGGCGTGGGTGTGTACATTACCAGTAGTGCCTGACCTATATGTACGGTTGTGTACGTGGTTATGCCTGAGCTTTATGTATGGTTATAACCATACACATAATTATGTGTAGCAGCTGGCCAATGAGAAGGCGTCTCTAGATGCCGACAGAGAGCTTTAGCATGTGTTTGCGGATTATGCCGTATTGTAAGACAGATACTCCACTTCCCCCCGTCTTCATGTTACACCTTGGGCCGCACCAGGAGCCTATGCCTACCTACTCCTACCCTCGGGCTGCTGCGAGTATTTCACATTAGCATCACGTCATGTCCTTCATACATGCGACTTGATAGCGTTAATGAATTTTTAGCCACTGAGGTTTCTCAGTCAAGGTCAGCCACAGCTCATATTCTCTGGCATGCCTTGATAGGTGGCTCTTTAGTAACTCCCTGTAGTCTGTCGAGCTGAACTGAAGACATTTAGTTAACGACATGTATGGTACCGTACTACCGGTTTTTACGGAAGAAAATGGTTGTATTTCCATCCACCATAAATAAATCGTTTGTGAGCCTGTAACGACGCAAGGCCAACCTGAGCATCCCGGGTTACGCCTTTGCTGTGTTACAGAGCTTGCCACACACAAGAATATGCTGCTTCGGTGGACAGCTAGCAGAATGCTGTTATCAAAGGAATCCTTACGGAAACCAGCCAGCAACCAGCTAGCAGTTACATATTATGACATTTGACCAAAAGGCAAGCAAATGAAGGAAGGGATATGTCTGGGAGTTGGAGGGCGCCCTATGGCAAGCTAGGCGGGGTTACGCACCCCACACAGGTTACGCACCCCACTGCCGGGGGGAGGTTACTGCTGATGAGGCCCATTGTCCACCCTAGCCCTCCCCTTACCCTCAAAGGAGGAGGGTGATGTAAGGTCGGTGATATTTTGTATCGCCTATAGACCACACAGGGGTTGTCATGTTATTATTACAAGTTACGGATTCCGCCAGGTTGTAACACCAGCAGGCGAAGTACTCAGGGAGATGCCAAGGGAGCTGAATCCTCCTGGTGTGGCCTTCAAAAAGCTTGTACACACACAACTACCCAGCCATCCGTTTCCTCGTTTTCAGTAACAAATTATCAATCGCCCCTCCCACGCATCCGCAGCTTACCAGGAGTACGGAAGGCGAAGTAGTTGGGCAGGTAGAGAACCCTGTGGTGGTAGTCTGACGCCGTAACATTGTATGTCTCGGCTGCCCACTCATCCAACCACTGATGCCACTTTGGAAGGTTGTCATTCTTGCAGTTGTTTGTGGTGAAGTTGTTACCGCTGGGGTACGTAATCTTGATGGTGCCGGTGCAGGGTACAGTCACCGGGCCCAGCACCTTGACGTTTTCAGGCAGCAGACGCACCTGGCCGTAGCTGCAGGTTCTGAAGTACTCTGCCAAGCTGCGGTTATTATACCCCGCGCCAACATAAAGAGCGGTGACGCTCTGTGCACGATTGAGGGTTGGTTGAGAGTGTATATGTGTGGGGGGGAAACCGCAGACAGCAGCGGCCGGCAGTCGTCAGTACATATGTTGTTGTAGCGCGATAGCTACACAGTAATGATGAGCTTAATAAGAAATATGCGAATCTAATTGTGATTATGAAATCTTCTGAAACTGATATGCCCGTCAAGGAATCGTTTGTAAGAATTCACCGGAACTGAACATCAAGGATCTGTACGACAGCTTTACAGAAATCCACAAACTTACTGAAATCGTCTTTGCTCACAAAACGACGTGTTGCTGTTTAGAATTCGTATTCTACACACGTTCGGAGCCCGGTTTTATACCGTGGTCGGGGCAGTGCCGGCCTGAGACAGACTTCACGTGTCTTTGGCACTGCACCGCACTACAACATATGTAGCAGCAGGTTGGTAAAGCTACGCTGACGCCTTTGTCAGTAAAAACGTTTGTTCCATCACCTATAGGCGACGCCCTCGTACAATAGGTAGGGACGGTCCCTATCTGTTACATGAGTTTGTCGTCTATAGGTGGTTGGAATTTTACTGACGCTATGTAGTAGCTGGCCGCTGAAAAGGCGTCTCGAGATGCTGGTCAAGCGCTTCGTGTGTGTTTGTAGATGATATGTGTGCCGTACTGTGTACCAGCTACTACATGCTGTACGACAGCTACTACAGCGCGACAGCTTCAACATCCAAATTTGTATGTGTTCAATTGGCCCAGAAGCCTTCCATTTTGTAACAACATATGTATATGTATTATAGTGTGCGTGTGGATGTACTATTATTGTATGTATCAAAGTCGGACAGCGAGGTGAAAGACAGAACTCATAAGGGACGGTTCCCAATACCAAGACACAAGGCGAAGGGATAGTTGACATCCCCAACCGATGGTGATGCAAATCGGTCGAATAAATCATGCACTGCATGGGGTTCTCCGATAGGCCCTAAGCAAGATCTATCCCGCCGATGTATCGCTGAATAATAATGTCCATCGCGCACCTGGGGAGTGAGGGTATTAGGAACACTGAAGCCACAAAAGGACGCAATATACACCAGGATTCGGGGCTCCGTGGGTGTGGTAATGGATTCCCCAAGCAGCCCCCGCCGCCTGCTGCCGCTGCTGTTGGGCTCCTCGCTCTCCGTGACGGGCTGGGCAATGGGCGCCGTACAGGAGTATATGACGCCTTCAACAATCCTATCGTAGGAAACACTTACATATGTACCCGTCGGTACTTGGTACGGGGAGATGTCAGCACAGAAGACTACCCGGTAAATGACGTCGTCATCCGGTTGCTGCTTCAGGTAGTAGACTGTTTCTTGCAACTCCAGAGAGGTAATGCTACCTGTGGTCAGTAATGTGCACATGTAAGGATTCTGCAGGAGCTCATGTGACGACTGAAAAGCGTAGGGTATTGGTGCGTGTTAGGTATTGGTACGTGAAGGCGGTTAGCAAGGTCATGAAAGCACGAAACGCTGGGTAATGTCAGGAAGGGGAATATTTCTTAAACACTTTGGCTTGCATGCATATAGGGGGATTAAGGCAGGCTGCTGATAATACGTACGACACATACTGGAAGGCATGTTATCCGGCGGTTCGATTCACTCCGTTCGTTCAGTGCTGCTGCAAGCAGTATTGTATGCTTACCCGTAATCACTCCGGGCCGATTATCACTTTGGACCAGTTGGTTGCCGCTCACGGTGAGCAGAAGCGGGGTCATCATCGTCGTCACCAGCAGCAGCAGCAGGAGGGGAGCAATAGTGGACCACATGGCGGTGGTAACAGCAGCAAGCTCCAGTACACCTTGTGCCACCGAAGCGACCTTCGTTAAGCAGGCTTACAGTCCAACTGGTCCTTCGAGGACGAATCACGCGGTCAAAGATATTGGGAGGCAGGCAGGCAGGCAGGCATTATCTTCAATATACAAATCTCAAGGTAGGAATATAGAGCTCTGGAAGGATAAATGATTATTTATATTCATTATCCTTCCAAATGGGTTCCGAATAATGGGCACGAAGGAAAGGGTTCAGCACCTCCTGCAGCAGCAGCTTTCGTCACTACAGTCTATGCTTCCCACGCGACCATAATACCTGCGTACCCTTCATTCATACATACGACTTCGTTGATAATATTTAACAATATTCCTTGCAAAAAGCGATACTAGCCAGCTTTATTTCTTGAAGCGAGATAACAGAGGGTCGCGTTTTTACGAATGGGAGGTCATTGGAGTTATTATTGGCTTACCGCTGGCTCATCGTTCGGGGGAGGGGTCTGAACGCCACCGCCCTTCCACTTCGCCGCTTGCCTTTCGGTTATGCCGCATACAGCAGGCGCGGCGTCTGCTGGCTACATGCATATCAAACGCTTGCACGTACGTATTCGTACAGCTTGTCGCTAGTTTAGCTAAAAGCATATGCACACGCACTCTGAGCGCATATGACCTTCAATCGTCTTGCAAGACCAGTAGGTGCCGTCTACTAAACAACTAAAGTTAGACACACCAATTGCTGTGTCTCGTGCTGCACCTACTCGTACATAATGCCGTGTTAGGTACTCACTATCTTAGCCATTGTTGTGCGCGTTCTTACTTTGTTTACTCATTTTTTACGTGACTGAAGCGGTTCATGGGCCTCCGGGTTCCTCTGATGCATGAACGTACGAGTGAGCGAGCGAAGCTTGTAAAATCCATTCATATACACATTGAGCGATTTATCTGCCCTCCAGGCAGCATATAACTTTTTGCTAGCGCTCAATCTCCGTGTACTAATGTTAGCACATTTGAACTTGGGCAAGAGTGAGGCAAGAAAGCTAAGTTAGGCAGGGCAAGCACTTTTAAAGATTTCTATTACTAATAATGTGACATACAGCGCCATACTTTTCCTGTTTATGTGCTATATACATCTCATATGTGCAACAAGTCGGCCACACCCTCGCCCGCACCCGGGAGAGGAGGTATGGCTGCGTCCCCAAGCTGTGGGGAACTCTGCCGTTGGGGAGGGGCCCCTTGGGGAGCCTGAGAATCTCCCAAAACGATTTTCCCTGGGGAATATTTCGCCGTGGCTGAAGCACCCTCACCGGACGCGCCAGAAGGTCGGGGAGTGACTCGCGCCGCCTAGCGCCGTCGATTTTTCGCAATCCCGGCGACCTTCCCGACGGCCCAGCACCATACCTGTTTGTACGGCATGAACACCCACAGTCTTAAAGCGCCGCAACAATCCACAAGAGCCGGACAAAACTTGAATATATATATCGCGTCCTAGTCGAGGATAGTTTCCGTGTTCACTTTCAAAAGTCCTAAAGTCGTGCACATAAATTGGGGTCTGGCCTTCGGCAATTCTTAAGGCCTATCACATAAAGCAATGCAAGCCTTGACTTTAGGCGATGTTCCTACAAAAGCCGTTCCCGAAGCCGCTTCTGCATGGCTCAGAAGGTGCGGCGAGGTTTTTCATTATTTAATTGTTTGCCAATACTCATAAGTTGCCATAGCTCCTATGTAAAAGATGGCAATACATAATGGTCGCGGCAGCCCTGCGCAAAGTCTGCGATGCACTGGAGCAGGTTTTCACCAAATTCTCTATGGACACGTCCAAAGGCCTACGTGTTAAGTGAGTACATTGATGGGTTGTTTTTATGGAAATTTTCCGGTTACCCCCCTCTTGCCATACCATAACCCTGAGGCTCCATGCTCGACTTTAGGCAACTCCCGGCCGTTGTGCTTGTTGTTGCGTCCCCGACGTCCTCGGAGATCGAGTGCCACGAATGGGGCTGGATGAGCACGAATGGGACTGGATGAGCACGAATGGGACTGGATGAGCGATCGTCAGCTTATGCCACACCTCGAGCACTTGGTGAAGAATGCGTACGCTGTGGGGCAGCTGCAGGCACCTGCAATGCAGGTCCGAGTCATAGCTCGGAAACAGCAAGCGGACGACGTCCAGCGTCCCGAGGCGGAATCCGACTTCGTAAGGAATCTAGGGCGATTGGCCTGGCAGGCAAGTTGGAGACGGCATGGTGCTGGGGGGCTGGCAACACCAGCCTAGTTCTTACCGCTGTACTATCTCCTGCAGATGGTCCTAGAGCCCGCCCTGCAGAACACGTTCGGCACTGCGGCGCAGTACGTACCGCATATGTTTAATAAGGGGGTCACCAAGGACCTCTCGGCCCCACATATTACAAGCTGGGTGCTGGTGGCCCCTGCCCCTGCGGTGTCAGTTGCATGGCCACACATGTTGCCCTGGGTTTCCCAGGCATTCCCTTGGTGAACGCACAGACTGTGGTTCTGTGCTCCTGTCTCCCTTAACCGTCTTCTAGTGGCTCTGACTCTGACACGCTTGCTAACTGTGCTTAGAATGGTGGAGACGGGAAGCAGGGAGACCGGCTGCCATGGCCCTCACACTGCAGAAGAACTCAGCCCCAGCCAACCACGGCCACACGACTGCGGCTCACCAGCCGCCACACGACTACTGTGCGGCCCACCAACACACCCCTATGGGGCAACATGCGCGCAACAGAACAGCACATGGCGCGAACCCAAGGAACACCCAAAGGCTCCCTGAACAAACTCATGCACTGCGACCAAACTACCTGAACCAAAGAAAAAAGGGGCCTGGACTGAGCCAGCAACGAGCCCTAGCCTACCGGAGCTCCCCAAGGCTGCACTACTAAGCTAGAAAGACCCAAACCGTGACGAGGAATCCTCCCCAACCCTCCCTCTGTCGACTCGCCGACTTTCCAGCCGCCCCTCAGCGGGCATCTGCCACTGGCCCGCCGCTGGCCGAGCCCTGCATGGAGGTGTCTGCAATTGACCAGCAAAGGAGGGGAAGAGGGGTGGTTAGGAAGCGAGGAGGAGAACAAATGCAGACCGTGGGGGAAGGTGGGTGGGGAATAGTTAGCTACAAGCTGAAGCTTTATTGAGTGAAAGGCAGAATGCCTGCAACGAAGGAGCTGAAGCATGATATACTCGCCACTCGAATACGGTTGTACAACAGTCACACAGAACCAGACTTAGAGGCTCTGATCACTTCACTAAGTCGCATCTAAGTCAACAATTCTGTGCTCCTGTCTCCCTTAACCGTCTTCTCGTGGCTCTGACTCTGACGTGCTTGCTAACCGTGCTTAGAATGGTGGAGACGGGAAGCAGGGAGACTGGCTGCCATGGCCCTTACACTGCAGACCGAAGAGATACCCGCTCACCGGTGAGGCCTAGGCGGCGGGAGACCTCCAGTTTGGCCGCAGTGTCGCGCCGCGTGTAGTGTTGCACCATGTAGTGCTGTACCATGGCATCCGTGCGCCAGCGGCCATATGCCTTGTGCAACTCTGCCGGCACTCCACGGTCCACTGCCGTGCTGTTCCCGCCTATGCACATGGAGTGCGCCTTGATGTGCCGCGTGATGCCTGCCAGTGATACCATTCTCAGCAGCCGTGTGCGGAAGGCCGTGTACGACAAAGAGTGCACTGGCGCCTCCCGTGTGCCAGTCAGAGGGCCCGAGAGGTACCCGCCACACTGCATCCATTGGACTGGTCTGAGGAGCGGTCCCACATATTCATCTGCTGTCGATGGCCTTCTGGGGTAGCCACCTTGCACCAGCAGGCGTTCTGTAAGTCCGAGGGGGCAGCAGGGACCTCTGGAGCATGCAATGACAACCCAGTGGCCTACCATCAGCTGGTCCGTCTTCGAATGGGGAATGAAAATCTCCATGTGGGATGCTGAAGTTAAAAGTAGATTTTCGTGCACGCAAATTTCTGCAGCATCATCGAACCGGAGAAAACCGCCAAACATGATGGCCACAGCTGCCACCATCATTAAATAATCTAGACGCACCTCGGGATTTGGAAGGCCCCACTAAGCGGGCCAGCACTGCAATGTCTTCTGGCTCCAAGGCATCATGCTGCAGCGGTTTACCATGGAGCCGCTTTTCCGCTAAAGTCCAGACAATACCACATGCAGTATAATCTGTGGGCGTTGCTTTTCCTGCCATGCGGAAGTAGGTGCTGATTGCCGCACTGGTGAGGTGAACACGGCTGGGCCCAACACTGTCAGTCTGTGACATGTTCAGCAGGAACAGCAAGTAAAGAGCTACCAGCTCTCCCGGAGTGGAATAGATGTCGCCCAGAAAGGTGTGAGCCTCCCACCAGCTGTGAAACTGGCGCCACGTGGCACATACTCCTTAGTAGTCCTGGCCGCCAGTCATTCTGGTGCCTCCTGCGCCAGTTGTGTGGTGAGGGCTTGGAGGTCTGTGGTGGTGTCGTCCCCCAGGGGGCCCAACAAGGCCCAACGTGCCGCTAGGTCTGCGGGAGACGGGCGACCGGGTCAGCATGGATGCAGACGCGTGTTTTGCTGGGGCCGGAAAAATCTAAGAGAAGCACCAGGGTGGCCCAAGCCGCCGCACCTTTGGGGGTCGTGTTGCCGTCGGAACCCGGCAGGAACAGGTCCACCGCCTGGCCCAACATCATGACTTCGTGGACAAAGGGTTCAAACCAGACACCATCTGCAGGATCCTAGCCCACCAGTCCCTGGTCGGCCAGTGCGGTGTGATCAGGCACACGTGGGCCTTGCAAGCCTCTGCGTGCATAAGCACCTTGAGGATCAGGCTGAAAGGCGGGTTGGCCCAGCAGCTACACCCCCATGTGAAGTGGAAGCATCCACCCCTGCGGTGTCCGGCATGAAGAACCTCGATTAGTACAGGGGGAGCTGTCGGTTGGTATGTGAAGTGAACAAATCTACATCGAAAGGCCCCCACTCGGTGTCCAGCGAGCAAAAGACGGCGGGTTGGAGCATCCAGTTGTCTGTGTCCTTCAGCTTCGACAGAAACCGGCAAGTCTATTTTCTTCTCGAGGCCGCCACTCGGCCTGCAGGCGGATGTCATGCACGAAGCAAAATTCATGCAGCTTGCATGCCACCGTGAAGGAATTTTCAGCTTTCGCGGAACCTTTGTTGATGATGTTTGCGGTGTTGAGGTTATCTGTCAGGACCTTAACTGCCCGGCCTGATAGGCCCGCGGGGCTATTGAGGGACTGGATGGCTAGGAGGATGCCGCGGAGCTCCTGCGGTGTGGATCCCATCCCGCTATCTTCGGGCTGCCAGCTGCCTTGGGCCACGGCGGGCTTGCCGTCTAGAACCGTCCCGGCACCCCTGCCGCCTAAGGAAGCTGCAGACTTGCCGGCCGCATCACAAAAGATCAAGGAATGCACCTGGGTGGGAGCCCATAGGTGACGGCGGCCGTTAAATTTATCGAAGGATTTCTGCCAGAAATCTAGCGCCTCACGCGCTGCTGGGGACAAGGGGAGGTGGGAACCCCAAAAGCGAGGTGAAGCGAGGTGCACAGCAGAGGCAAGGCACACCCAAGGGAAAAAGATCGCTACGAGGAGTGCGTTGACGCGGGCCCAAACCGCTAGGAACAAGATGCAAGACGACGGCTAGATTACAACAAATGACATCCTTCTGCACCGGCCGGCGGCCACCCCGCCACGGGAACGACTTAAAAGCGGATTACACTCTCACTACACGTCAAGACGAAGCGGCAAATTGACTCAGTCTCTGACGGACAAAGCAGCTGGCCAGTCGGCCCGAACGTCTGTGGGCAACGACTAGCGATGGTCCCATTGGAAGAGGAGAAAAACCGAACAACCGAAGAATCGTCCCTTAGCCCGCCTCGATACAAAGCCCAGTGCACCCGAGGTTCGGTGGCATGAAAACGGGGCAAATAAGGACGCACGCGGGTGCGTTCATGAACTCCGCAAAGAAATCTGAGTCCTCAATGAACGTAAGCAGCATAACGAATGACGAGGACGAAGCACACAGTGATGGGTCGATAAAGCGCGCGCGGGCGTACAAAAGAAGAAGCCAATGCACATTCGGGCAGACCACGAGTGAACTGACACGCTTGCAGGCACACAGAGGAATGAACTAACGCGCTCACGGGTGCAACACTTGAAAGCCAAAATGCGCGCAGGCGTGGCCAACTAATCACGAAACAATGGCGCGCAGGCCTATGTGTAGCGCTTCAACGGCGCCTCTTCTCATCTCGCGAGTTGCGGCCAAGGTCATCCTCGCGCCTCTTGGTGTTGTATCTGGTGCTGCCGCGTGCTCCACCTCCTCTAGAGCCGCCTGCACCGTCTCCGCCTGAGCTGTGGCCGCCCGCGCCCCGCCCGAGCGGCTGGCAGCACGCATTAAGGCTTGCTCTTTAACTCCCTCCACCAGTTTCCTGGGCTTTTTCTTGTCACGGAACTTGTCCTCGTTGCATAGTATGCTGAAGCAGATGTCTGCAGCCGAAAGGCCGAAGCATGGCTCGGCTGCCAGGGCATTGGTGACCGCCATGCCCACTTCTGTACGATGCACCATCCGTCTGAGGACCTTAATTGCGCCCTTCACGTCCTGTGGAGCGTCGTCCAGCAACACCAATGCCAGTTTACCCTGTGTGGCGAAACCGTGAAAAACCTGCTTGCGGAAACCTGCCGAAGTGCATGTGGGCGCACAGTGATGAGGCCGAAACACATGCGGGCGAACAGTGATGAGGCCGAAGTGCACACGGGCGCACAATGATGGGGCCGAAACGCACACAGGCGCACAGTGATGGGGCCAAAGCGCACACGGGCACACAACCAGATAGCCAAGGTGCACGCGGGTGCAGCTCACTGAAAGACGAAAACGTCCGAGGCAATGGTGTGCGGGCCTGTGTAGAACACTCAATGACACCGCTTTCCATCTCGTGCATTACGGCCAGCATCATCATCGCGCCTCTTGTAGTCGTGTCCAGAGCCGCCACACGCTCTGCCTCCTCGTGAGCCACCTGCTCCATCGCCGCCTGTGCTGTGTCCGCCCGCTCCCCCACCCGAGCAGCTGGCAGCACGCTTTAGCGCTTGCTCGTTGACTCCGTCTACTAATTTGCCGGGCTTAGTCTTGCCTCGAAACTTGTCCTCATTGCACAAAATGCTGATTCAAAAGTCCGCAGCCGCAAGACCAAATTCTCGGCTCAGCCGCCAGGGTGTTGGTGACCGCCATGCCAACCTCCACATGGCGAACCATAGGCTTGAGGACTCTCATGGCACCCTTCACGTTCGGCGGAACCTCCGTCATTTGTTGCTGGAGTGGGGTGATATTCCGCTGGATTAAGGTGTTAACCAACACCGCTCCCACAGCGGGGCTCACTGTTGCTGCGATTGCTCCTTGTTCAATGTGAACTTGAACTTGAAAGAGAAGGTGATGACTAGGTAGGGCTTCAATAGCGAGCACAATGCTCTGTCCGACATTACTAAGCAAATAGTAAGCTACAAGCTGAAGCTCTACTGAATGAAAGGCAGAATGCCTGCAACGAAGGAGCTGAAGCGTGATATACTTGCCACTTGAATACGGTTGTACGACAGTCGCACAGAACCAGACTTAGAGGCTCTGATTGCTTCGCTCCGTCGCACCTAAATCAACAAATCTACGGAAGGAATTGTGTTTGCAGCTGATGTGATTGCACGTGATGAGCGGTATGCCACCAAGGTGGCAGAATACGTAATGCTATGTTTCCCTGTTTGGTACCTTCACACATCCATTTTGCCTTGCAGGCTGCGAGCCACGAGGGAGGAACTGATGCGTAATTGGAGGTGAATATGCATGTAGTCGCTGCATGCTTTCAACATCACCAATCATGTTTTTGGATGTGAGTGGCCAAGCGGGCAGGGGCACGCAGCATGGCAGCTGATTTGCTGGATGGGGATCTCAGTGATGCAGAGGACCTTGAGGAGGATGTGGTCGACGTGGGCGGCAGAAACGGCAGGTCTGCCACAGAGCAGGTAATGTGTGGTGGTGGCACATCGGGCGTTATTGCATTGCTGACCGATGGTACCCATGTGCAGGGACATGGGCGGTCAACCAGCAGCCGTGTGCCTTTGAGCGTTTCAACACACGGAAAAAGATGTCCGAACTGAGGGCTGCACTAGTGGAGATGGGTGTGAGGCTGAGCCGGAAGGAGTTGGGTGCAGCACTCAAGACTGCAGGGTTATTATGGGGCCAGCCGACACTGCAGCAGGTGGGCCAAACCTCATCATGACTGTCTTCTTAGCACATGAGGCATGCTGTGAGCCATGGAATGCTGACGAGGTAGTTCGTAATGCAGATGACTTTCAGCAGTTCGACCAGCTTCATAAGATGTTCGGTGAGGAGGAAGCCATTGGCATGGTAACCGGCATGGCTGGCTTCAAGACAACAGTCGCGACACGCAAGAAGCTTGTTGATGCTGGGCTATTGGAGGCACGAAAATTGGGTCTGGGCGTTCTTGTGACTAGGAGAAAACATGTTTTTATGAGCTCTCCCCCTGCAGGCTGGATGGGGGCCGAGGTCTGGTCATGCAGTCAGCACTGTCAGCACTGATGATGACGGTGTGTAGCAGCCAGTACACAGTACGGTGCTATAAATACGCGCAGAGCGCGTCCGCCAGCAACTCGAGAGACCTTTTCAGCGGTCAGCTGCTACATTTGGTATCGAGACCTCGTGAAAAATCACGATCCTGAAGTCGTCGGTTCAACCCCCACCGATCACGTTCGAGTGGTATTTCGGGTGTGGCGACTCAGTGAGCGAATATCGCACAAAAACTATAAAAGTAGCTGAACCGACTGGATTGTCTCTGTGCCTGAAAAACCTGAAGGCTAGGCGCATGAAGTGGGCTTGGCCACCCCACTGCCCGAGGGTAGGCGAAGGTAGGCACAGGCTGGCGGTATACGAGGCTCTAAGGGCCCGGGACGGTTCCCTTCAAAGGGGGGGGAATGTAGCAGCCAGTACACAGTACGGTGCTATAAATACGCGCAGAGCGCGTCCGCCAGCAACTCGAGAGACCTTTTCAGCGGTCAGCTGCTACACGGTGCATCATATTAAAATGTAGTAGCAGGCTGCTGAAAAGGCCTCTCAAGATGCTGGTGGTCGTGCTTCGCACATATTTGTAGAGCTGTACTGTGTACCAGCTACTACATTCCCCCCCCCTTTGAAGGGATCCATCTCGGGCCCTTTCTTTCTTCCTTTCGGCAACTTATACCACCAGCCTGTGCCTACCCTCGGGCAGTGGGGTGTTCAATCCACGTCACGTCATGTGCTCCCTTCACATGCGCCTAGCCATCTTTAGTTTTTTCAGGCACAGAGACAGTCCACTCGGTTCAGCTACATTTTATTTTTCGTGATAATCGCTCACTGAGTAATCTAACCCGATAATCCCCCAAGCGTGGTGGGGGTTGAATCGACGACTTCAGGATTATGAATTTTCACGAGGTCTCGATACCAATGTAGTAGCTGGCCGCTGAAAGAGCCTCTCGAGATGCTGGTGGTCGCGCTTCGCGCGTATTTGTAGAGCTGGTACACAGTACCAGCTACTACATAAACCCTTGAATATATTCAAGCGCAGGAGAGGATGGGGCTGGAGGCACTTGCAGCAGTCAGAGTGGTGGCGCCGATGACCTGGACCCTGATGCACCATGTGTGGTATGCGGGGAGACAGAAGAGGGTAGCTGGGGTGACATGCTATTTTGTGATGGATGTGATGCTTGCTATCACATGACTTGCCTGACATTACCACTAACCAGCAATCCGTCTGGGGACTGGTATTGCCCATACTGTGAGCCTGCTGTAAACATGGCTGGTGCCGCATTTGGCCCCAGCACAGCAGGGCCAGGTGCTGAGGTGGCAGTTGCGCCAGTACGGGAGGTGACCCCATCACGGCCTCCAGCAGCCGCCGAGTCAGCACAACCCTGGGCTGCAGCCCCATTTGTGCCAGGCCATGTAGCAGTAGCACCAGGTCCCCAGGATCCGCCGCCTCTACCACCCCCTCAGACTCCCACCAGCACAGCAGCTCCCGCTCCGGAACCACTGCCAGCAATGTTGGAGGCAGCAAAGGCGGCGGGCCAGGTGCCTCACCACTGTTACTGGCACCAACACTCCCCCTCTTTCCCCCATGTGTGCCGTAACGGTGGCGGTTGGAATAGCAGCCTTGATACAGTGTTGGGTTGGCAAGACGGTGCAGCTGCAGCCTCCCATGCATGCTGAATTGAGCCCCCGCGGCAGCAGTGGGGATGATGGGGTGTTTGGTGACAACACGGTTGCTGCTGCCCACTCATGGTCTAATGGGCCCCACTATCCCCACTATCGGCGGAGGCGGTAGAAGCGGTGGCGGCGGAAAAAATGGCGACCAAAGCAGTGGCGGCCAAAGTGGCGGCGGCCAAAGTGATGGCGGCCAAAGTGGCGGCGGCCAAAGTGGTGGCGGCCAAACAGGCGGCGGCCAAAGTGGCGGCAGCGGTGGTGATGGGACTTTGAGAAGTGAGATGACACGGCTTCTGCTGCCCATTCACACCGTGCTGGGCCCTGGTGGCGATGGAATGATGTGGTCGCTGCCGCATATCCATGCCGTGTTGGGTCTTGGTGTGCGTGGTGGAAGCCACCGCAGCAGAAGCAGTGGTGGTGTAAGTGGCTGCTGTGGAAGTGGTGGAGGTGGAAGCGGTGGCGCCGGTAGCAGTGGTGGCAGAAGAAATGGTGGTGGAAGAAGTGGCAGCAGTATCGACAGCAGCAATGGGACCTTAGGAGGCGAGCTACTGCAGCTGCAGCCGCACCTGCATGCTATGTTCAGCCCTAACAGCAACAGTGGTGGGGGATGGGAAGTGGTGGAGCAGGTGGAAGGGGCAGCATTGGTGGGACTTAAGGGGGTGATGTCACGCCATATGACGTGCTAACAGACATAAGAAATGCGGATGGATCACTGTGGGTGAATAGATGATTATACAATAAGAGCTCTCCTTAAAGCTCCGGCTTGACTTGGCTGGCTCACTCCAGCTTCGTTAACTTGATTTGCGCGATCGCAGTAGGCGAGGACGGGCTGGGAACGGATCCCTGTCGAGCCTAGAGGTAGGAGCACTAAGGGCGGACCTGATGGAATGCTGTGTGTACACTCTCTGTCTATCCTGCTCGTGCTGCTCACTGACGGGTTCCAGTCCTGGGTGAGGCTGCTGCTGCTGCTGAGCAGGGAGGGGCGGACCCTTCTTGACTCCCTTTTGTTGCTTTGCGTGACCTTTCCTAGGGCGCGCTGGGGCAGTTGAATGCTCGATGGACCCTGGGGGCCGAGCTGAGCGGTGGGGATTGACGCGACGTAGAGAGTCCGCCAGCGCTCAAAAGATGATCAGACTCTTACAAGGCTCTAGTGAGAGCGCAGTGTTCAGTGATGTCCGGGGACACTATCTCACTGATGAGTCTGTATGGCCGGAGCCTGTGTGCACGTACGATAGTCCTGGGACACACACCAACGCTCGGAGCGCAAAGATTAATAGTTCTCCAACAGCTAGGGCTCGGCACACGGATGCACCACTAGAGCCACCACTAGCTGGTTCCACACTTAATATAATCACACAAATGTGCCCGATGGGCGCGTGGAATGCCAGACAACACCCAGGAGCTCGGAAGCTCCGCACTGAAAGGGGTGCTTCGGCTACGAATCCTGACTCACTGCTAGCCAGATCAACCAAGCCAAAAGCTCACAAGCTGGATAATAACAGCAGCTTTGCGGCAAATCAAAAGAAAATAAGAACGCAACAAGTAGGCACTGATGCCACGGATGGCTGCTGCCGGAGGGTTGACGCGCCCGCGCTCCTCACGCTGGTCGGAACCAGGCGAAGAAGTAACTTGAGGTCGATTAACACTGCGTATTCGATGTGCCTCGGAAGGCTAACGAGCTGTGTTGGCTTAGTGCGCGGACGCGAAAAGCCTAGCTCAATAGATGGGTAACACCTATTGGAGAATTGGCGACGGTGACGGCTAACGCTGATTGTTATTCCGGAAGGATTGCCGGTGGCGAAGATATTTAGCACGATAAAATGTTACAAGTAATGTAAAGAGTATTGTTAGCGTTCGGCAGGACTTGAGGAGATTCCTGGTAGGAATACCGATCGTTGTGAGATAAACTAATAGGCGCAGTCACCGCCCTAAATACCGGCGCTAGCGGAAAACTCGTACATTCCGCGATCTAACTGCACGTACATTCCGCGATCTCACTGCGCCGTCCAGACGGTGCCCTAATGTCTATCACTTAGCTACCGGATATGCATCGGTAGCCCCATAAGGTTCTGGGGTAAGTCTTCCCCATTAGTCAGGCGCAGACCCGGGGTCAAATCCCCTGGTCGACAACCACACGAGTTGGGAGAGGACCGTTTCCTCAACACGCCCCCTCGGGCCGTATCCCAACGAGTACCAAGTTCATCTGCACATCTCACACAAGGCCCATAGCATCTCGGCAACGTTTGAACTTCACCTCGCCCAGAGCCTTCGTTAGCACATCCGCTACCATCCACTCTGTAGGGCAGTATTCCAACTGCACCTCACCGCTATTCACCCTCTCACGCACTATGTGATGCTGCACGTCGATGTGCTTCGACCGAGCAGACGTAATCGGGTTGTTTCCCAAGCTAAGCGCCCCCTGGGAGTCTATCTGGATTTTCACCGCGCTCTCAGGCAAGCTCAAATCAACCATCAGCTTGCGAAGCCACAAAGCCTCACGAACAGCCGCCGCTGTAGCTTGGTACTCAGCCTCCACCGACGAAGCCGCCACAGTACGTTGAAGTTGGCTGCTCCAGCTAATCGCAGCCCCATTAAGAGTGAATACGTAACCGGACGTAGAACGCCGCGTAACTGGGTCTCCTGCCCAGTCCGAATCACTGTACCCGGACATAGCAACGTCGCCAACACCCCCAAAACGCAATCCTAGTTCGCGTGTACCCGCCAGGTAACGCAGAACGCCGGTTGCCAAGTTCATGGCAGTCTTCGTGGGTGCGGCCATATGCCGGGACAAAACGCTCAATGCATATGAAATGTCAGGCCGCGTGTTCGTCGCCAGATAGTTCAATTCTCCCACCAAAGCCCTATACTCTGTGGGATTGCCCAGCAGCTCCTCTCCGTCCCCCTTAGGAGTGTACCTAAAGCCCGGAGGCAAAGGGGTAGACCTCGGCTTGGCGTCAATCATCCTATGACGCTCCAACAGCTGCGCAATATACCTATGTTGCGACAACACTATCTCACCCGACTTCTCCCTCCTAATTTCCATGCCCAAAAACACCTTCGCTTCTCCAAGGTCGCGCACCTTGAAGACCTTCGCAATTGCGGCTTTAATTGCCCGGACCATTTCCGGGTCTTCCGACGCAACAATTGTATCATCTACGGCACCAAAGC